TACCACTCTGGGCCAGAAGAGCATCACCCCCGGAGGCTCATCACCAGACGGCGCTGGGCTCCACCCTGAGTTTCTGTTCCAGATCCGTGGAGCCTGAGAAGATGCATTTCTACCAAGCTCCCACGGGATACTATCGCTGCAGGTCAGGGCCACTCTCGGTCTTGTTAATAACATGTGTCACTTTCACCCGAGACAGGCCAATGGCCCTCCCCTGACCGAGCACACGGCACCACGTGTTTCCCTGGAACAGGGCCCTGCAGTTGTTGACAGACTGACGGGTCATGTGGCACCGGGTGGGTGAGAGAGGACAGCGATGGGAGGAGGTGAACCGGTCCAACCTCCAATGCCCACGTGAGGGCCTGGGCCCGAGGGCAGTGGGCCAGAGCCGCCTCCAGCCTGGGAGTCCTGCCGGGTGCCAGGCTGCCGGAGGAAGTAGAGGTTTTCCAAGCACGTCATGGGGTTTCTCCTGACCCTCCCTCCTGAAAGTTCTTGGGGCCAGCATTCTCAGCCCTGGCTGTGGGGGAGAGTCACCGGGCAGCTTTAGAAAGTCCCGATGCCCGGCCGCTGTCTGCACCTGGGCCAAGCACATCAGCAGTCCTGGCACAGGGCCAGTTCTCTAAGGCTGAGAGTCACTGCAGGGGTTGGGGTGGAGGCCCTGGGCTGCATCCCTGCTCCGTGGCCCACTGGCTCCACCCCCTCCCCAGGCTGACTCTGGGGTGTGTCCAACAATGCAGGTCTACACTTGTCTCACAGCTCTTGTGGGGCGCCTCCCTGCCACCAGCCCCGCCACTCCTCGAGGTCAACTGAACGTGAGGGCGGGGGTCTTGGGGGGCATGGAGGAGAGTTAGAGAACAGGTTCTGTAGAAGCTAGGGCCAAGGGACCTCTGTTCCGGGTTCCTGAGGAGGCCCACTTTGTTGATGTGGGGTCCTGGGTCAGAATAGAAGACCATGAAGAATCCTGCCAGGGAGAGGCTGGCCGTGGACCATCTGTTACTCAGACTCGGGTAAGGTCTGGAAGCACCCCTCCTCCCCCCCTCCACCCCGGTCAGGGGGCAGGAATGCACCATGCTGGTGTAGTGTGGCTCTGGGCCCAGCTCTGCTGCTTGGTGACTCCAGCATCACTTGTGGGTCTCAGTACTCTCATAGGTGGAGAAGGGATAGCAGGAGGCTGGTTGGGGGTGGGGGGCGCAGGGGGCAGCAATGTGCACTCAGAGCACAGCAAGCCCCTAGTGCGGGCGTGCTCAGCGGCGGCCCGGTCTTGCCCTTCGCGTAGATGTCAGCGGCGCTCCCCACAGGAAACACTTTCTGAGCACTTCCGGTGGGTGTGTATTTATATATCGCATTCGTGGGTTACTATGCTAATGTATTATGTACGTTATAAACCATCCAACAAAAATAGAAACTTTACAGGACCCGGCTAAAAATAGAAATACAAGTTACCATATTTTCCTGCTGCCCGGGGGCTCTCCTGCGTCCTGCTGGAGGGCCCACTGAGAGGGGCAGTGTTGTCCGGCACGGGGAGGGGCAGGAGCTTGGGGCCAGGGGGACTCTGGTGGGGGAGGTGGGTCGAGCCCCGGGGAGGCTCCGGGCCCGAGGCAGGGGTCGATGCTACAGCTCTGAGCCGCTGGGAAGGCGGAATCTACGCGCGGGGCCCGGGTCACCGAAGAGCCCAGCGGGATCCTCGAGGCAAGGTCCGGGCCTGGGGGTCCTGGGGCCCGGGGAGCCGGGGCACGGGAATCCAGGGCAGAAGGATCGCGGGCGCGAAGCTCGGGAGGGAAGGGCCTCGGGCCCCACAGAGACGCCGGAGCCCGGTTCCGGCAGCAGCCGCGACAGGTCCTCCACCAGGTGCCACTTTTCCTGGACTTGCTGCGGGGGTTGGGGGGGAGCGAGCAGCCGGTAACGAGCGGCGCCTTCACCCCGGAGTCGGCCGGGACGAGCAGCCGGCCCCGCAGCTGCACCTACGAAATCCGCCGTGCCGGGTCCCCTGCCCCGCCCCTGCCCCGCCCCACCCAGAGGCCACGCCCCACGCCTCCGTGAAGCCAGAGACCACGCCCCCAGTAGTACCGCCTCCAGAAAGAAGCCACGCCCCCACCAGGGCCCCGCCCCTCCCTCAACCCAGAGCCACATTCTATCAACCCCGCGTTCCCAAGCCTAAGGCCATAGGCCTGTCATCTGGCTCCCGGCCTGAGGCCACGCTCCGGGGCGAGGTGTGACCCCTCCCCAGCCCAGCGGACACTCACCCACACCAGTTGCTTCCGGATCCGCTGGATGGCCTTCGCATTGGCCTGGGACTGGGAGACGCAGACGGTCAGGACAAGGCTTTGGACAGACAGGAATCCAAGGTCAGCTATCCCTGGAGGGCAGGTGTCTCCCCTACTTCCTCTCTCCCCACCCGGGGTTCTTCTGTCTGCAGACACCTTTCTCTCTCCTGTCCTTCCTCCCCCTGGCAGCCTCTTTCCTCTAAAGGGCCGTAAGAATACCTCAACTGCAGGTTTTTAGTGTGCCTGCAGGAGGGATCGTGTGTCCCCGTGGGTCACACAAGGTACCTGCTCGAGGGGGCTGCCCAGGGCTACCTGCCTTTGGGCCCAAGCTCTGTCCTCTGGGACCCTGCCCCCCTGCCTCTCCTTGTCTTGCTCCCAGATCCCATGAGAGCGTCTGGGGGTGCTCATCGAAGGACGGACGCCCTCCCAGGTGTGCCCCCTCTTGGCCCCTGCTGGCCTGAGAGGCACCTGAGCAGGATGAGGACGGGGAAGCTGAAGGCGTGGGAGCCCAGGTAGCGGAGGGCACGCTGGCCAGAGGGCGGGAGCCGGAGGGCCATCAGCTCTGGGACCACCTGCCAGGGGGCCGCGTAGTTGGCGAAGAGGCCGCAGTCCCAGGAGGAGTGGATGCTGGGGAGAGACAGCCAGGGTGGGGCTGGCGTCAGGGCCCCGGGCGAGGAGGGGCTGCCTGCCCCCCAGCCTCGGGCACCTCTGCTGCCCTCACCTGCTGACCACATAGCCCAGAGGCACGACGGCCAGGAGCAGGCCCAGGATGAGCACCAGCTGGAAGAAGAAGGTGGAGCTGGAGGCGCGGAATCTTCGGGGAGAGGCCTTGGAGTTCCTCATCAGGGTGTACTGGGGGAGGCGGCAGCAGGTGGGGAGGCTGTGAGCCGGGGGAGCCCGAGGCCCAGGGCAGTGCCACTGGGGGGCTGGGCGGAAGCGGGACGGGAGCCGGGCTCCGCTGCCGCTGGCTCAGGCGCCCACGCAGTGCCCCTCCGGCCCCCTCCCAGCCCACGAGCCCTCACCTTCTTGATGTAGAAGGTGAGGAAGATGAAGACACTGTTGAGCAGAGGCAGCAGGGGACAGTAGAAGAGGCCCATCCAGGTGATCGTCTGGCCGGCCACAATGTCCAGGACATTCTTGGGCACCAGGAACTCTTCCCGGTCCAGCCAGACCCAGAAAGAGCCTGAGAACCGCTCCACCAGCAGCCTGGGGGAGGGGAGCGTCCAGATACCCACAGCAGTCGTGACCACTGACCGTCACACGCTCAGTCGCGCCGAGCGTGTGGTGGGAAGAACTGCTCACCCTTGGCTGTGGCCACCGGCCATCCCCCAGACACGCCCGGGTCACCCCCGCCGCCCCCAGGTCTCCCCATGGTGTCCCCGGGGCTCACCTCCTAGGCAGGCTGACAAAGAAGGCAAAGGCCACCGTGAGGAGGAAGTTGAAGATGCTCAGCTTGTACAGCTCTTCCCCGACCGCGTTCTCCCAGCACTGGAGCAGAGGGGCACGTGTCACCCAGGGTCCCCGGCCGCCCCTCGCCCACCCACTGGGGGCCTCTGTGTTGTAGGAGCCCTGCCTGGACCCGATAGGATTGCTAAGTTAGAACGGGGGCCTCCAGGGGAAGAGCTGAGCAGGGACCCCCCTCCGCCCCCCCCAGCTAGGGCTGCCGCCCTGCCCAGCGTGCTGTGAACAGTGCCCCCTGGAGGAGTGCAGCGCGCTCTCTCCCAAAGGTGAGACTGGAGAGGGACGAGGACAGAAGGGACAGGCCTGGATGGAGCCACCAGCCACCTGGTAATCACAGGCGTTGTAGCCGAAGGACTCACAGCTGGTCTTGTTTCTGCCAAGGCACAGCACAGTCTGGCCCAGAGAGAAGGAGAACATTCCCAGGCTGGCCAGCTTCAGCACCACGACCTGGGGGGGGGGACTGTGTCAGGAAGGCTCAAGTGGCCGTGGGCACACAAGCCACCCAGGTTACATAAGTGAGGCCCGCTGAGATCATGTTCTCCGGGTCCACTCTGATTCCAGAGCCCGGCCGACTTCCAGCCTACTCTGTCCGGTGGCAACGTCGCCCAAGGTGTGTTCCCCAGAATCGTGGTCTCCAGATGATTCATGAGGCAAGGGTTCTGTTTTTAAATCAGCGTGGGAGACACTGTGTAGTTACAGTTCTCCCTCCCCCGCCCCCGCTGTCACACTTGGTTTAGAGTTTAATATTCTCGCAGCAGGTGAGAGCTCTGTTTCTACCCTAGCCCGCTTACACGGTCTCACGTAGCACAAACATGCCCACGGGCACTCCTGAGTGTTGCATGACTGGATCACACAGGCAGGGTGGCTTTTAACCCCAAACCGCCCATGCGCTGCTATATTGGGCGCGACTCTCAGCCGGATGGCGTGACATGAGTTTGGCTGCGAACAGTGGTTCTGTTGAGGGAGGCTGGGAGCAGGGCTATGGGGCTTATTTTCTTTGCTTTTTGTCAGCATTTTGGTTTTAAAGGCAGTGCTATTACTCATATTCCAAAATAAAGTTTCAAGCCACAGTCAGCCTTGGAGGAAAGCTGGATGGGCTCCAGACAGCTTCTGCACAGGGGAAGCAGGAGAGAAAGTCAGAGCCACAGGTGGAGGGGAGACTTGAAATGTTGAGCTGGAGTCTGTAAATTGCTGAGGGCTTGGGTCCAAGCAGATCCTCGGTCCTGATGGGAGACAGAGCAGAGCATGGGGGTCAAGGGGGGGGGGCTTGCATTTGAACCTGCACCCAACGGACATGGTGAGCTTGCCTTTGGCTGAGGCACTTGACCCGTGCGAGCCTCAGTTTCCTCATCTGTCAAATGGGAATGAGGATGGTCCCGACTTCACAGGTGAAGGTTGTCAAGGTGAGGGGTGGAAACCCTCGGGGCATGTGGGTGCTGTGTGCCTCCCACCTTCCTGGTTTTCCTGGGCGAGAGGCTGGTTCCCAACCCCTCCTGGCTGTTTTGTCACTGGCCCCTCCGAATGGCTGGTGCTTGGTCCAGGCAGCTGGCTTACTTTGGAAGGAAGGGACTGGAAAGCTTTAGACGGAGGCTCTTGAGACGTTTCTGGAAGCTTCTGCATACCTTCCCTTGCTCGGGACCACTGGTGCCAGGCGGTAACCAACACGGGCAGCAGGACGCGGCGTCCTCAAGTGCCCCCGGGCCCTCCGTTCCTTCCCCTCCACACGATGTCCCCCCTGTCACCCCCAAGGATGGCACTCACCAGATAAGGGTGAGGTTGACCTCAGTGTTGGGAGGGTAGTTCTCCAGCTGGATGAGGAAAACAAAGAGCAGGGGACCCACAAAGTTGACCAGGGCGATGACCCCCGGGGGCAGGTACTGTAGCAGTACGAACAGAGACTCCTGCGGGGAAAAGCAGGTAAGGGGGTGCGCACGGGCTGGGGGGGTCCCCAGCAGCTCCCTCGGGCCCTACAACCCCGTCAGGTGTAACTGGTGCGGGCCTGGCGTCTGGAAGCCCGCGGGCTATTCGCGGCTGGAGGATATCGCGGGGACAGGCGCTCTGGCCTGGTCGTGGCCTCAGGCGGATTGTTTTCAACCTCTCTGAGCCTCAGCTTGCTCATCTGCAAAGTGGGACTGCCCCGTCTCCCCGCCAAGTTCTAGCCGGGATTAAATGCATGCGCGTCAGTTGCCAGGCACCTCTTTGTTGTCCTGTGAGTACTTGGTGGCCCAGAAGATGGTGCTGATGGCCCCGACCACCAGGAGCCCGATGAGGACATTGACCCGCAGGTAGGTGAGCAGGTGGCAGGCCCTCTGGGTCCGGGTCTGCTGCTGCATCAGCAGGAATCGACGCCCTTCCTCCAGCTCCACCTGTCATGGGGGCGGGGACACAGACAGGTGGGGGCTGGGTGCTGCGTGCGTGGAAGGGGCGGGTGCCCTCAAACAGCGCAGGCCCAGGTCCGTGTTGGTCGGGAGACAGGCCGCCAGCATCCAGGCAAGGTTGGGGCGACCCTGGGGCAGGGGCAGGCTGAGGGCTGGTGGCCGGTCTTATCTAGACCGCCCCACCTCGCACCGTGTGCGTCTGCTCACGTCCAAACAGCGGCACAGCCCCACCTCCGGCTGGAACGCCCTACGCACGCGCGTGTGCACACACCCCCGACACACGCTTCCAAACCACGGCCGCTCACAGACCCAGTCGTACACGCACCACACGCTTGCACACACCTTGAACTCGTTGCTGATCTCGTGCTTCTTGATGGTGGCTGCTTCCTGTCCCCGGATACAGAAGTCCCAGGAGGAGAAGACTTTGACACTGACAGGTGACCTGTAGTCTTGGCCCAGAAACAGCCTCTGTGGCAGCTCCTTTACCATCCTGGAGGGGGCCGGAGGCCAGGGCTCATGGGGGAGGGGCCTCTGCCCTGGCTCAGGTCTGGGGTGGGAGGCCCCCGACAGTCCTGGGGGCAGCCTGTGGCCTCAGCTATCGTTGGGGGTGGGGAGACAGGGGCGGTGTCCCCTGTCCCTGAGCTCTGCAGCTGGGGACACGGAGTTCAGGCCCTGGAGCCATAGATGAGCCTTAGGGAACAGGGGCCGGGCCCTCCTGCTAACTTGGGGGTGCCATGCCAGGGGAGGGGCGATCAGGGAAGACCCCCCCCCCC